ATTTAAATGTTTTTATATGATGATATGATGATTATGAACATGCAAAAGGTCTTGATGGTGTTAATTACTAAAGATATGAATTTATGATTCTATAAGGTTATATTGTGTGAAGTATGATACTAATTATAGTTCTTGTTGGGTGACTCGATTAAGTAAGGTTATGGGGATCTACTTGGTCACTGCACTTGTTGACTCTATTGGAATTTATTACTTGTTGCCTTACTTTTCTATTTATGTGATAACTCTTATTTATGCTTGAGATGACATTACTTGGTTATAGTGTATATGAGATTATGAGTTCAAGCATGTTTATATACCTTTGATTTCCTTAACTATTGGTTGTGCATAAGTCTTTAAAGGGGTAAAATTCCATGAATTAACCAAGTGTCCCTTTTGACATGCTTTGATGCTATATGTGCATATGGTCTCGTACTTAGTACATGTGGAGTACTAACCCTATTTTCTTCCCTTTTTCTCAACATTTTAGGTTCCGGTCGTTGAAGGCTTTTGAAGGAAACATTATTGAAGACTTGGATATCTCCTTTCATCCAAGTGGTAGGTCCTCTCTTTCCAAGAACGATACTGATATCTTACTTATGGAGTTTCTTTGTTATGAGTTTAAGACTCCTCTGATTTCATTCTATTTTGCTTGTGTACGACTTGTATAAGCCTATAAGTGTCTTCTTACTTTTGATGTAGGTCTATTACCATATTTTGATAATCAATTATATGGGTATGAGATGAGACAATCATTGAGATATGTGAAATAAAAGTATGTGAAATAAAAGTAGAAAGCTATGTAACCTTCTTATACGAACGAGTCTATGTATACTTGATATTAATATTAATATGTGTATGTAGAGATCTATGTTAAACACCGATTAGATATAGATAAAAAGTTTTATTTATTCCGTACTTTTTGTCAATGAATGTGATGATATAAGACTAAGAGACTAGTCCTAGTCCTCAAAGAGGGCGACAACGCCAGTTATGTCTGGGGGGTAAACCCGAATGTGACATTTATTTGCCTATCAAGGATTTGAACCGGAAACTCCTTATAGGAGAGGTTATAATTCACATAAATACTCTCAATAGGAAGAATAGACTTGGGATCAACGCTACATTTATTAAGCTTAGAAACATGGAAAACGGGATGAACCGAAGCCAATTCACTAGGCAACCTTAACACATAGACAATCTTACCAACCCTTTGCAAGATTTCATAGGGACCCACAAAATGAGTACTCAACTTCCCTTTCTTGCAAAATATAACCACCAATTTCATAGGTGAAATTTTTTAAGTACACCTTATCACCTTTTTCAAACTCTAATTCCCTTCTCCTATGATCGAGAAAGACTTTTGCCGACTATAGGACATTTGCAACCGGTTCCTTATGATATGAACCTTCTCCAAAGAATTATAAATCAAATCGGGACCCAAAAGTGAAGACTCACCCACTTCAAACCATCCAATAGGAGACCTACACCTCCTACAAGCCATGGATATGGATGAATGGAAACTATTATTGTAAGAAAACTCTACAAAAGGCCAATGTTTATCTTAATATTCATGGAAATCAATGATTCTATCCCTAAGCATATCCTCAAGGGTTTGAATAGTATGCTCCACTTGTCCATTCGTTTGGGGATTAAGAGCGGTGCTTAACTTTAGTTTGGTACCCAACCCTTCTTGGAATGACCTCCAAAACCTATATGTGAATTGTGCACCACGATCAAATATGATGGATAAAGAAATACCATGGCGACACACAATCTCATCTATGAAGATCCTTGCATAATACTCCACCGAATAGGTAGATATGACGGGATAAAATGAGCTGATTTTGTCAACCTATCAACAAACACCCAGATAGAGTCATATTGCTTTTGTGTCCAAGGCAAACCTACCACAAATCAAAATTGATGCCTTCCTACTTCCAAGTAGGAACTTGGATTTATTGAAGTAAACCACCTGATTTTTTGTATTCGGCTTTCACTTATTTGCAATTTGGACACTTAGCAACAAATTCCGCTTTTTCCTTTTTTAAACCTTCTGACAAAAGAACATCCCTAAGGTTATGGTACATCTTTGTCGAACCCAGATGAATGGAGTAACGAAAGGCATGAGCGTCCTCAAGAATAATGTTCCTGAAACAATCTACATTGGAACACATAACCTTTATTTGATACCTCAAGACACTATCCTCTCCCAAAGGAGTATGACACATTAAGCTTACCAAGAACCGATTCCTTCAACTCCAACAATGTTTTATCAAGGTGTTTTTAGGACTTCACTTAACCATTAGTGATGATTTGGAGTTATGGTGGAGCATAAAATCACCATTCAGAGAATCTTCCAACCTAACACCCAATCTAGCTAACCTCCATTTCTTTTTCTTATTTGCGTAGGTGTTCATCAACGATGAAAGCCGCTGAACTTCAGACTTGAGTGGAAAAAGAGGGCTAGGCCCCTTAAGGGCTATGAAAATCTTTAACTAGGTCTTTCTTGTATTCCTCTATATCAGATATACTGCCCATGTTCATACAACTTTGAGTATCCACAACCACGTTGGCCTTGCTGGGGTGATAGAGAACACTCATGTCGTAATCTTTTAATAATTTCAACTACTTTCTTTGTCGGATATTTAACTTCTTTTGAGTAAACACATATTGTAGACTGTTGTGGTCGGTCTACACGTCAATATGAACACCATAAAATAAATGCCTTCATATTTTCAAGGAAAATACCACGACTGCTTACTCAAGATCATTAGTTGGGTAGTTCCATTCATGCACCTTAAGTTTTCTAGAAACATAGTGTGATGTATTGCCACATTTCCCGCCATTTTGCAGCATCTGGATGGGGCAGGCGGCCCTAGAGCCTTGGAGAGGCTTGTAGAAGACTCTAGAGCATTCTAGATTCTTGGGGCAGACTTTGAGGCAGACTAGAGAATTTTAGGAGCCTTTTGGAAAAGCTAGAGACATGTTCTAGGAATGTAGAACATGTACTGAAGTTCATGTACTTAGGGACTTGTAAAACAACATTTATTTACTCTTAGGCCTTAGGGAGTAGTATAAATAAGAGGGTCATTTCATTTTTAAAGCATCCAAAAATCGAACAATCAATACAATTCCTCTCTTCAAAAATCTTTCTTTGTCTTTCTTTTTATTCTCTTAGCGTTCAGCGTTAAGTGCCGCACGGAGTCATAGCGAACACTCTAAGTGGTATCAGAGTGTTAGAGAACACTCTATGTCCGTGACAAAGTCGTATCAGAGCAGGTTAATCGTAAGAGAATGACGAACGAAGGAGACGTTATCGGCGCTAGCACCACCAACGTCCGCACGGATGGAGAAAAGAAGAACAAGAAAGGCAAGAAGCAGCAGAAGGGAAATGGAGAAACACTGCTCGAGCCCACACCATGCGAGGCGCAAACATCTATCCCACCATAATTATTGATGGAAGTGACGAAGAGAGAGGTGAGGATGCCGAAGACATCATTGCCGAAGAAGAATGGGTTGCAAGGGTAGAAATGGAGAGGCAGGCCATTGAGATCTTAGGCTGGCGCATGAACGGGACAGACGACAAATTCAAAACCCTTGAAGACTTCACCGTTAAGGAGATTGAGAACATCCGAATTGAATTGGAGGGTCGACAGCGGGCCAAATTCGAGATGAAGGAGGCATTACATCCTTGGAGTATCGGTTCCCGGAAGCCCTTGACCAGATTGAGGTGCTGAAGAATGAGGTTAAAAATCTCCAAGATGAAAGGGAGGTTGGTGAATCCACATCACTTGACCGGGAGAGGGAGGCCTGCGTCGAGGATCCCAAGCCACCAATATTCAAAGGTGTCCACGACGCCCAAGAGGTGGAAACTTTCCTATGGCACTTGGAGAACTATTTCAAGTGTAATAGGGTGAGGAGTGATGGAAAAAAGATCAACACTACCGTGTTGTATCTTTCCGAGATTGAGATATTGTGGTGGAAGTGCAAGGAGGCCGAGATCGAGAAGGGCACATGTACCATCGACACATGGGAACCACTTCGTGAGAAATTTAAGAAAGCTTTCTTTCCTAACAACGTCGTTTATAAGGTGAAACACAAATTTTGCGAACTGAAACACACGGGAAGTATTCGGGTATATGTGAAAGAGTTCACAACCCTAACACTTCAAATTCCCAAACTCACGGATGAAGACATGTTGTTCCACTTCATGGAAGGACTACAAAATTAGGACAAGGCAGAGTTGGAGCGACGCAAAGTGAAGACCATAGATGAAGCCATCACCCAAGATGAAGCCTTGACACATTTCAAACATGATCGTCATGACAAGGAGAAGGGTAAGGAGATAAGAAGCAGTCATGCTAAAGGTGGGGGAGACCGTGGCCGAAGCAAGGAACATCAGGCACACTCCAAGCAGCATGACACTCTAACGGGATGGCAAACGGTTTGAATGTCAAAAGTACAAGGAATAGTGGACGTAGACCATCAAAGGAGATGAGTGATATATATATGGCGGACCACACGACTATGCCAGTTGCCCCGAGAAGAAGATCCTTGGTGCCATCTTACATGAACGGAAAAAAAAGGATACATAAGAGCAGGGGAAAGAGGCGGGCACGATGCAGTTAGGTTGGACTGTGCAATGCCATAGCCAAACAGACTGACAAGCAAGGAGACTTTAGCAGGCAATATGTAGACATATCTATCAATGGACGACAAGCTCGTTCCATGATAGATTCCGGGGCCGAAGCAAATATCATGACCAAGATGATGGAAGAGAAGTTGGGTCTGAACATTGTTTCGAGCAAGAACCTCATCAAGACGGTCAATCCTGACCGACTCCCGTATGTGGAATCACTCATGGAGTAAGCATCACGTTGGGAAAATGAAAAGGTAGAACGAACATTTTAGTCTCTCCTTTGGACATATTCAACATCATTCTTGGGCAAGAATTCTTTTAGCGTTGCCACCCTATGATTGATCCCTACATTAAAAAACTCATGGTGGTTGAATGGGAAGGATCACGCATGGTTCCTCTTTTTAAGGTGCCAAAGAAAGATGGACATGCCCACTTATCGGCCATGCAGATTGTAAAGGACCTAAATAAAGGAGCACCGACATTAGTATCCACCATTGCATGTTCGGGAGAAGACCATGGTGCTACGGAGTTCTTGCCACGGATCATAGAAACTGTCCTTGAGGAAAACAAAGACGTGATGCCAGAAGAGCTGCCAAAGACTTTACCTCCAAGGCGCGAGGTAGACCACACGATAGATTTGGAGGCTGGAGCCAAGCCACCTGCACATGCACCTTACCGCATGGCTCCACCCGAGTTAGAAGAGCTAAGGAAGCAGTTGAAGGAGCTCATCGAAGCCGGTCACATCCGTCCATCCAAAGTACCTTATGGCGCGCCAGTGCTTTTCTAGAAGAAGAAAGACAGGTCGATGCGTTCGTGCATTGACTATAGGGCGCTCAATAAGTTCACAATCAAGAATAAATACCCGATCCTGCTGATTGCAGATTTATTTGAGCGTCTTGGATAGGTCAAGTACTTTAACCAAATGGATATCCGGAAAGGATACTACCAAGTGCGCATCGCAGAGGGGGATGAGCAAAATGCAGCATGCGTGACTACAGACGGAGCATATGAGTTGTTGGTAATGCCCTTCGGCATAACCAACGCACCTGCCACCTTTTGCACGCTGATGAACAAGATTCTACATCCCTACTTAGTCCAGTTCGCTGTGGTATACTAAGATGACATAGTCAAATACAGTGACACCTTTGAGGAGCATGTGGTGCACTTAAAGAAAGTCTTCAAAATCTTGCGAGAGAACCAGCTCTACGTCAAGCGGGAGAAGTGCGAGTTTGCCAAACCCAAGGTACATTTCTTAAGCCATATTATCAGCAAAGGCAAACTTTGGATGGACGAGGCAAAAGTTTAGGTTATCCAAGAGTGGGAAGCGCCAACGAAGGTGACCGAGTTGCATTTATTTCTTAGACTTACGAACTATTATCGTAGGTTCATTAGTGGGTACTCCACTAAATCAGCCCCAGTGACCGAGCTATTGAAGAAGAATAAGCCATGGGTGTGGAGCGAGGAGTGCCAGGGAGAATTCGATGGTCTCAAGAGTGTGGTTATAGAAGAACCAGTCTTGATGCTTCTCGATTTCACAAAGACCTTCGAGATTCATATGGATGCCTCTGATATAGCTATTGGTGGAGGCTTGATCAGGAGAGACACCCAATAGCATTTGAAATCGAAAAGATAAACGAAGATGAACGACGGTACACAATGCAAGAAAAAGAGATGACGGCCACCATACATTGTCTACGCACGTGGAGACATTATCTACTAGGCTCCAAATTCGTGGTGAAAACCGACAATGTTGCCACTAGATATTTTCAGTAGCAGAAGATGATCACACCAAAGTAGGCTAGATGGCAAGATTTCCTGGCAAAATTTTACTACGTGTTGGAGTACAATCCAGGAAGGGGAAATGTACTGGCCGATGCATTGAGAAGGAAGGTTGAGCTACCGACCATCTCCACAACCCGTTGTGAAATCCAACACGCAATCAAAGATGGTATGCACCATGATTCAGAAGCCAAGAAGATAATGGAGCTGGCTGCCCAAGGTCAAACAAGACGTTTTTTATTAGAATATGGATTCTTGATTACCACCGGACATAGAGTTTATGCACCCATGTTCGGATCTATCAGACGGAGTATTATTAAAGAAAGCCACGACACACTGTGGGCTCGACATCCATGGAAAGGAAGAACGAGGGCGTTGATTGAGGCTTTTTACTTCTAGACTCGTATGCGGGACAATATTTAGCGTTATGTGCAGACTTGTGTTGTGTGCCAACAAGACAAGGTAGAGCAGAGGCATCCAGGAGGGCTGTTAGAGCCACTAGCCGTAGCAGATCTTCCATGGGAGAGCATAACTATGGACTTCATCACTTCTTTGCCGAAGTCAAACAGGTTTGGCACGCTTATGGTCGTGGTACACAGATTGTCCAAATATGCTACCTTCATGCCTTCCATAGCCGGTTGCACCGCCAAGGAAGCCGCTCAGTTGTTTTTAAAAAATGTAGTGAAATATTGGGGGCTGCCGAGGTACATCATCAGTGATCGAGATCCTCGTTTCACTGGGAAATTTTGGAATGAACTCTTCGAAATTCTTGTCTTTCTTCTTATTCTCTTAGTGTTCCGAGTTATAAAGGCTTACTTGAGGTTACGAGATCGTGAAAGAATCTTGAGTAAGTTGTCAAGTACCGCCCGGAGTCTTAGCGAACACTCTAAGTCCTTGACAATAGGCTACAACTTTCCCATGTTGAATAAGCACACACCCTAAGCCCACTAGGGATGCATCACAATACAACAAATCCCTTTGTACCTCCAATAAAGTCAACATCAGACTATCTTTCAAGATTTAGAAGCTTCTCTCACATGCCTCCAACTACTCAAATTTCTTATTCCTATGGGTTAAACTAGTCAAGGGAGATGCAATGGACGCAAACCATCCAAAAACCTCCGAAAATAACCATCTAGACCCAAGAAAATCCTAATGTCGGTTGGAGTCAATTGTGTAGGTCAAATTTTCACCGCCTCCATTTTTCTTGGATCAACCTCAACTCCCTTACTAGAGATGATATGACCAAGAAATACCACCAACCTCAACCAAAATTAACATTTGCTATATTTGGAAAAGAATTGGTTCTCCTTATGCACTTGTAACACCACCCTCAAAAGGTCCATGTGTTAACCCTCATTTTTTGAATATACACAGATGTCGTCAATGAAAACAATGACAAATAAACCTAGATAACTTTAAAACACCCTATTAATGAGATCCATAAATTCCTCTGGAGCATTAGTGAGACCAAATGACATCACTAGAAAATCCTAGTGAACATATCTAGTCTAAAATTCAATTTTTTGTATATCCTCACCTCTCACCCTATGTTGGTGATACCCCGATCTCAATTCAATCTTAGAAAAGTATCTTGCCCATGGATTTTATCAAACAAGTCATCAATCCGTGGGAGAGGATACTTGTTCTTAATAGTTACTTTATTGAGTTGGCAATAATCAATGCACATACTAAGGTACCCATCCTTCTTCTTCACAAATAAAAACTGGAGCACCCCATGATGAAATACTAGGTCTAATGAAGCCTTTCTCTAGTAGATATTTGATTTGAGACTTCAACTCTTTCAATTCGGCCGAATCCATCCAATAATGATGAGTTGAAATAGGATTTGTATTCGGTAACAAGTCGATAAAAAATAAGTTTCCCATTGGGGAGAAATACTGGGAAGATCATTAGAAAAGACCTATGGAAATTCCCTAACTACGAAGACCGACTCAACGGGAGGAATTTCAAAGTCTAAATCATGGACCCTTACAATTTGGTAGAAACACCCTTTAGAGATCATTTTAAAAGCTTTCAGACAAAAGATGATATGAATTCTAGGAATATCATTCCCCCCACCATTCAACTCTAAATCTAGATCATTTGGAAAGTTAAACTTCACCACCTTTTTTCTACAATCTATAGGGGCAAAGCAAGCATACAGCCAATCCATACCCAATATGACATCTAGAAGACCCCAAAAATGACTTAGGTGAAATATAGCCTAACATGTTAGTATTGACATTCTAAGGTCCTAAATAGGTCTAATATATGATCCAAAAATATACTTTGGAGGTTCCTAAGAGGTATATTAAGTATTTTTAATGTGTATATAAGTGTTAAACGCATTGAAGATTTCATTCTTCCAAATCAAAACCCCAAAATCCCTTAAGAAATACCAAGTCTCCATTAAATTCCAAAATGAAGGAAGAGCTTGGTGTGAAGCTTTGAGTGGAAATTTTTCATCAAAGTTAAGTATAAGCTTCATAAAGGTATGAATATTTATTCTTGAATCTCTCTTCAACAAGGAGCCCCAATTCTACAGATGTTTTCAAAGTTTCTAAAGATGAATTGTCCAATTTCATGATTCTACCACGGGTTCTTGCATGAATTGTTTTGTAAGCGTCTATTATGGATTATATTTATATTTTATTGATGATTTTGATATACATTACCTACGAACCCATGAATTTATTGAACCCTTGTTTTTTACTAAGTTTTAGGTTACTTGATATTGATCTAATGTTGATGAATTCTTATGTAGTTTTATGTGGGCTACTCATTGATGTAACAATTGTAGTAAATTGATATCTAGGTTTTGTTAGATTTATGAATTTATATTGATTTGACCTAGTTCATCGATTATTGTTGTGTTTATGTTGAATTTTTAGTTATGGCCTTGGGTAAGGGTCTTGTGTTATCAAATTGAGTAAGATGACTTTTGATTGAAGTGTTGAGGATTTTATGGGGGCATGCTACCATATTCCCGTTAATTAGATGCTATTTATGCTTCAAATCTATTTTGATTAGTATGGTCCACTTATGGTGGCGGATTTATGTGCTTTACTTATTCATTAGGCCTTGTCGGCGTTACTTTATGCAATATGATGATCTTGGACTTGTTGACAACTACTTGAATGAATTTGACAATTTGTGTAGCTTGATTTTTTTATTCATGAAAATATCTATCTTCATGTGGAGTCATATGTGTATTCTTCTATTCATCTTATCTTACGTATCCATGTTTGACTATGCCTTTGACATTATATGTGAAGTGCTGGAGAGTCTTGGTTATTCCTACTTGGATATATGTGTCTATTTTTATTATTCTGATGATATTATGATAGTATATAATATTACTTGAAGATGTAAGGGTTGTTTCTAGGTGCTTCTAGAATGAATTGCATTATGGGTAAAAATGAAGTATATGGTATCTTGTCTTGGTTGACTTGTGTCCCTTACGTGATGTAGATATCATTATGAATATGTTATGACTTTATTTATTGTGTTATAACTCTTAGTCTTGAATATATGAATGACATGTAACCTTAATGAACTTAAGAGAGTCTTTTATGTGAAAATCTTCACTTAGTGATTATGTTGAGATTGTTGAAGTTGTAAGCCATAATGATATCCTTCAAAGTAAATGAGTGATAGACTTAAGGTAAATTCGATGGATTGGCATTATATTAATCCTTAGGAAATTCATCATGAGCTTCTTGTCACCATTGTGAGGTATTCCTAGGGGACCTTCTTTGGTAGGGTAAATGTTATTGGGTTATGAACTTGTTATGGAACCCTTTTATGTGAGCCTAATGTATGAATCACTCTATGATAAAGAAGGCCAGCACCTAGTAAGAATGGTAAGGGAAATTAGTACTAGATAAGTATGATACTAGATTACAAAGTATGCCCTTCATATTCCTTAACCATGTTCCTACATGGGATGTGTCTAAGTTCTTCCCTTGGCAAGTAGAACAACCTCATCGGAGTAGAATAGAACACCGGATTTCATGTCTTGCTATCATGGTCTATGTCGGTTATTGAATATTCTTATCATATGGAATACCTATTTGAAATAGAGAAGCGTATGAGGTTTAAGTGGTGTTATTTGGAGTTCCTAGGTCTTGTCTAAGACCATTATTTGAATGTCCTTTATGTGATGTATGAGTCTTAATGAACTAATGAACTAATTACTTATGTTTAGAAGAATCTAAATGAATAATTACCTAATCTTAAGTGACTTCAGGATTCCTTAGCTAAAGTATAAAGAGGGAATAAGAGATGATCTCTTCATATCTTATTTTTGGAATTCTTGAGGATGACTCTAGTTAGGGAAGATGTTTGATGTTGTGGACATGATATAAGCCTTAGGTAGTCCTAAGGACTATTTAGATAATCTTGTAGAAGTCATTATGGACATTATCTTCTTCATTAACTTCAGTAGGTCTTTTTATAGCCTTTGGAAGGAGAATGTCATATCATCTATGTATTGGTATGATAAGTGAGAATTATTCTAATATAGGGAGTCTATACTATCTGTTAAGTGTGTGTGTAAGGGATTGTATGGGCGGTCACTTCACAACTTACTCAAGAGAGACTTATAGTCACCAATGGTAGAAAAATCTTACGTTGATGTTTATGATTTTTTGTATGTGTGTATGTGACTCATTATAAGTAATCTTAAGGGCCGTTTAGGAACATCTAGAGAGGATGTATGGGTGGTATGTCATTGTATGACTTAAGTGAATTTTGTATAGATTTTAGTGAGGGAATTACATGCTAGAAATTGGTTAAGGTAAAGAGATTCACTGTAATAGTGAAGGAATT